AAGTGAAGACATGTCGAGCGCCACTTATTGTGTTTTAGGAGAAAGGTCGTTAGAGGCAGTTATTTCGATTCAATATAAATAAGAGGTCTTAGTGATAGGATTTCGTATGTGATCAAGTTTGTACAAGTTACTCAAATTACTCAAAGTACCCAATGTGTAGAGAAAAGATTTATTGAGAAATGTATGTTTGATGAAACACCATTCTCTTATAATTTAATCAAATTCAGTTTATAATTTTGTCCAGAAATTTATCTTCTTCATTGCATAAGTTTCTTTTGATGCGTTTACAACACTTTTTGATTACTTTCTCGCAACGTATTTCTCTTATCGAATTACACTATTTTTCAATCATGAATGTTGTCAAAATTGTTTCTCAAACTTTAGTTTAAAAATACATTAGCACATATCCTAGGATTCGCTGGTTGATCCTGTAAGTTAACCAATATTGGGAGACCAGCGGTTGTTTACCAATTTTCACGGTAAACAGTTGCATTCTAGTTGGAGCTCACGTTGATCATCTTGTCAAACTTTCTTTTCGCCGACCCCACAATGAGCTTGTTGAATCCTCCGTCGGATATGACCATAGCAGGGGGGAAACTCTTCCAGATGCTGTGAGCAGATAGGGGTGTGTCGACCTTGTCGGGGACGTAGAAGTCCTCAGGCCGAGAAATGCAGAGGGTAACCTATAAGCTGGTGTTGTTAGAGGGAGGTGTCTCCTCTTAGACGGACGTCCTATCAAGTATTTCAATCGCATCTTTAAGGTATATGCAATCCTTGGTCACGTGTCCGTGGCTCATTGGAATCAACAGTACTTGGATTTGTCGACATTTGGCTTGGGGTGTCGGCTTGGGAAAGCGGACCCCCTTGTTGGAATTCTGAGTTTATACACTCGGCTAGGATGCGCTCGTGGGGAGCGGTTAGCAGTGTGTACTCGGAGAAGCGGCATGCTGGTACACGGTGCTCACAGGAGTCACATGGCTTATCTTATCTTCTTTTCTCCCCGTCACGTCAAGGAGCCACGGTGTCGTCATACTTCACGACTTTGGTACCCTCCTGGTTCCGTGAGTCACGGGAATTATTGGTGGCCTCCCTCTCCTTGAACTGGATGTAGGCCTGGGCTTTAAGGAGAAGGGCATCCAGCGAGTGGGTGTCTCAATGCCAACTGATTTGGCAAAGTCGTTGTGGGGACACAACCCTCGCTCGAGCATATATCTCTTCATCCGGTCATTCGTGGAGATCTGGACGGCCTCTCGGTTGAACCTTTCTATGTAGGCTCGGAGAGACTTGTCCTTTCTCTGAATGATGGCCTCGAGCGACGCCTTGGATTTCGGGTGTTGTCGAGAGGCGGTGAAATGCCTGGTGAACTATGTTTTCAAGTCCTTCCAAGAGGTGATGGACTCCAGGGCGAGGCTTTTGTACCATTCCATGGCACATTTCCACAGAGTTGTGGAGAAGAGTCTACACTTGATGGGGCCTTGGGCGTTGCGGTAGTCGAGCATCGTATCGATGTTCTCGATGTGATCTTCCGGGTCCGTCGTGCCATCGTAAATCGCCAGGCTTGGTGGCTTTTCCATCCCGACGGAGATGGGGATCTCCATGATTTTCTAGGATAATGGACCGTGGGGGTCGTCTTTGTCGGTTCAGACTGGTGAGCGCGACGGTGAGTGGTCATGTTGGGGGCTTCTTCCGCGGCGCAACGAGTTCCTTGGTCGACCCTTTGCCTTCTCCAGCTAGTCGTTGGCTTTGCTCCTTTTGGGAGCCGATGAGCGTCGTTCTTTGTGTGGAGGAGTGCGATCCCGCTTTTGGATGATCGCAGCTTGTGACCTCTCTAGCCACGGTCAACGTTTGGGTTGTCACGGTGAAGGGCTTCGAGACTCATCCTGTTGGTGTCTCCGCGGGGGAGAGTGTTGACAGTTCTCTCGTTGTCGCCAGGCTACGAGAAAATGGGTGTCGATGTCTCCGCGGGGGATAGCGCGATTGGCGTTCTTTCTCCGGCATTCCAATGCGTTCGTTCTGCTGAAAAATCATCAGTTTCATCTGGTTGATTGTCGTGAACAAGGCCACCGTGGTAGGGTTGGCATTGGGCGGCAGAGGAATTGGTTGGAAAATCATCGGACTCTCGAAACGTTGGGCGGCGTTGTAGGCCGCATTGTCGGAGGAGGGAGAGGCGGTGAGTTCGTCCCTAGGGTCACCCTCTTCAACAACGGGCACCATGTTGTTGTCATGGTCGTCACTGACAGTGAAGCTGGTGAAGGTAGCTTCATGGACGTTGTCGTCAGTGTGTTGACTGACCATGATTACTGGTAGGTACTTTAAGGTTTTCTTTGGTCTTTAAGTTTCATGGAAAGAAAAGTTGGGGGAGCAAAGTTTTTCACAGACGGCGCCACTGATCTTATCATATCAAAAATAGGATCAGCAGTCAGGAATACGTCGTGAGTTCCAAATTTGCCTATGTTGGAGAAGAGGATGGAGTGTGTCTGCAAGACACTCCGATGCCAAAGTGAAGTTCAGAGGAAACAATGAGTAAGTTCAGAAAGCAAATATGAGTTAGCATACTTGACCCTCATGTGGAGGAGGGTATTTATAATATGCCTCTAGCGTTGGGCCAACGGTCATCTGATTTGAGCTCAATCACAAGGCCCACAACAGATGACTGCTAGGATCATACGTGGAAGTAAGGAAGACCCGCATGTGGTCTTCGTCCTAGGTCAACTGTCTCATAAACTCTGGCGAATTGAGGACTTGTTCTCTCGAACATGGAACGTTGGTTGATGACGTGTTCCCACATAGAGAGCACGTGGGAAACATGGGGAGAACATGTGAATAACGTTTTCTCCTGCGGTGATGACAGATTGGGTCTTTGTGCTAAATCCTTTCCAACGCAAAATTAGATTGGACAGTGCCCGGCGGTAAATCGGCCTTAAGCCCAATCTAAAACAAAATTCTTTGATTTTTTTTTTTTGAAATTTCAAATACCATAAAATTTTATCCCATACCCCATCATTTATTCCCCTACCCCTACATTATATTTTTTTTTTTACCAAAATATCCTCATATAAATAATTGTAAAATTTTTTTGATTTAATTATTTGATCCAGAATTTAATAAATAAATATATCTTTAAAAACTACTTTATTAATATTCTCATCAAACATGACAAGTATTATCTATATTTATTATATAATCTTATAATGTTTCTATCAAAGATTTTCCGCTAAAATTTTTTTATTTAATTAATTAATTAAATATAAATATATTTATTATTAACTCTATCATTTAAAACTTCTGACTAAGTCACATTCTTATATTTTAAATAATTATTAATTAACAAATGCAATAAGACACGTCATGAATTTTTTTTAAAATGCAGTCACCTACCAATAATATATTTACCATAGTAACAATCCAGCATAACTTTTCTCTTCATTCTATTAATTAATCTTTTATTATTAATAATTAAATATTATTATTATTAATTAAATAATAATTAAATTAAAGTCACAAGTCTCTAATGATGATTCAATGTCACGCCTAAGTCACGTACGAAGTCCAAATAGACCCTTACAAAAATTCTCATTCCTCAAACTAATCCAAAGAACTAAATTTTTTTTTTTGTATTTTGATTTTATCATTTTTTGTTTATTTTTAATAATAATTAAGAATTATAATTCCTAAGACCAAAATTAAAATCAATTATAAAATGAAAATCATTAATCATAAAAATCAAAACAACTACTCATAAAAATTTAAAATTTTTAACGGTAGACTTTGAAATTAATAAATTAAAAAAAGAAAAACTTTGTTATCATTAAAACTTTTTAAAATTACTAAAAAAAAAACTTTAAAATGTTCTTGAAGTTTTTTAAAAAAAAAAAGACAAAGTTAAAGAAAATAAGAGTAATCAAAGAGATAGTAAGAAAAATAGAAAACTAAAAATAAAATAAAGATTTGCATTATGATTAGTTGAATCTTTGCCTTTATTTTTGGTTTTAACTTTATATTTATTAATTTATTTTTGAGTAATTTTAAGATTTGCATTATATGTCTAATTTATTTATTCTTTTTAATTTAGTATTATTATGTCATATTATTGTGGGGTTAGAGAGATGTTAATTGTTTGTATGATATAAATAGAGAGGGTTGAGTGGAGAGAAAATTGAAAAATAAACATGTTAAATATTTTAATTTAATTATTATTTAATTAACAATAATAATATTTAATTATTAATAATAAAAGATTAATTAATAGAATGAAGAGAAAAGTTATACTGAATAGTGACTAGGTGACTGCATTTTAAAAAAAATTCAAGACATTTCTTATTACATTTGTTAATTAATAATTATTTAAAATATAAGAATGTGACTTAATCAGAAGTTTTAAATGATATAGTTAATAATAAATATATTTATATTTAATTAATTAATTAATTAAATAAAATTTAGCAGAAAATCTTTGATGGAAACATTATTATAAGATTATATAATATTTGTTATGTTTGATGAGAATATTAATAAAGTAGTTTTTAAAGATAGATTTATTTATTAAATTTTAGATCAAATAATAAAACAATTATTTATATGAAGATGTTTTAGTAAAAAAATATATAATGTAGGGATATGGAAATAAATGATGGAGTATGAGATAAAATTTCCTAAATACCATTATGAAATCTCGCGTGAAAAAAACCCAATAGAATATAAGTATTGAATTTAAAATAAAGTTGATTTAGTAACAATTTTACTAGCATACTCTTTTTTTTTCTCTATAAAATAAGAAAGATAATTCATTCTAAATTGGGAAAATATTGTGGAATAAAATAAAATCTAATCCAAAAAATAAATATTTTGCAGAGAATGTTTACATGTCACCCTATTACAAAAAATTTAATTAAAATAAAATAAAATAAAAAAGGAAAGAATAGTTTTTTTCTTTAATTCGTGTGTTTGTAAATTGTAAATCGTAAATAACTATGTGTTCAGTAAATATAAAATCAGGTAAATTACCAAGTAATATTTTCGCTATTCTCCCAATAGTACCCAAGAAAAGTCTTAGCAGCATCCAAGCTAGGAAAACAAGTAGGTTCAAGAAATATCTGACTCAACGACTCCAACTTTGACTCACTACTTCCCATCACAACCGTCAAAACCTGTTTATACGCATAGAAAAATCTCTTCATCGCCGACTCTAACCCCTGCATCGCTTGCAACACATGAACCTTCTCGAACCCAGTTTTCTTCTCCGAATACACCTTCATCGCTTCTTCCATTACTCCGGGCCCACCCGTCGGGTCCACCTCAACTTCCAAAATCTCCGGCACTTTTCCTTTCAGATCTCTACACATCTTCGTCATCTCTACCAACTCCTTCGACCGGAAACAAAATGGTAACGTTTCGTTCAATGTTCTCATCCCTAGCTGCTTCTTCAGTTTCAGAAAATCCGCCGGATCCATCATTAGATGCAAATCTTCCACCTCCGATAGAATCTTCCAGATCCTCTCCACCGCGTAGATCTCACTCGCGGCATTCTCGAATCTTTTATTATCGATTGATTCATTCACTCTCTTCAATAACACACGCGCCGAGCGTGTCCATGACTCAACGATCTGGTGCGTCGCGTGTAAAGTTCTATTCTCGTGGTTCTGTATATGATCAAACGGCGTTGTTTCTAACGAGTGTATGAAATTCGGTTTACAAACGTCGTCGTAACGGAGAATTGGTTTTCCGTTAATATTAGGTTCTCCTAAACCTAACGTATAAGGACACGTCATCATTTCGGTTTCCACGGTGGAGAGAATTCTCTGCGCTATTTGTTTCGAATTCTGCCAGGTGGCGAGTTTCGGAAGCAAGCTTTCCTCGCTGTAGGTTCTGAATTTGTTTTGGGTTATATTGCTGACGTCACTCACCGGTGTTTTACCACGCGTGTTTGGGTTTTGTTCCTCTTCTTCGCATAGCATTGCGATGAGATGGATTTGGGCTTTCGCAAGTGATTCGACGCGTCGTGCCCACTCGCGTTTGTTGATGTAGGGTCTCGGGTCTGATAAAACGGTTAGAATGAAACGGAAAGTGATTTCGAGGGCTTGTAAGGCGGGTTTTACGATGGGCTCGTTGGTCCAGTTAGGGAAACTGGATGAGGCCCAGAGGGTTTTGAAGTGAGAGAGGCGGAGATAGTTGTCGTACGCTGTGCAAACAGTGGGCGACGCGGTTGAGATGTCGTTTGGGGAGAGTGGAAGAGGGAGATGTAAAGTGGGTAAGGATAGTTTGGGTGATTTGGGTGGTAGGTTTGAGTTTAGCATGTTTGATTTCCATTCTAAATCAAGCATGTTTGGAAAGTGGATAGATGAAAAGGGGGATTGTTAATGAATATTGAATGAGTTGTGTTGGTTTGAAGAGAGCAAGGAAGACAAGAGGGGTATTTATAATTTTATTAGTATATGGAATATGGATAGGAGAGAAAGAAGAATTGGAATTTTTTAAGGAGAAGAAAAAAAGACGTGTGGACTGAGGAAGAATCGGGCAAAGGCACAAGATAGAGAACGAGAAATTTGGAAGTTACGGCGTGTGGGATATTATACGGTTTTTAATTTGAATTTTAACGCACCACAATACGGATACAGTTTATTTTATTAAAAAAATATTTTTGGAAAAGCATAATGTAACTATTAGAATAAGTAAATATTTTTTATATTTAACAAATCTTTTTAAATTAAATGTATATATTTATTTATTTAATAAATAACTTTATTAATTGAGTATTATTGTTACGATTTATTAGCGATTTGATAATTAAGATACTATTCTATATGATTATTTTAAGGAGAAGAAAAAAAGACATGTGGACTGAGGAAGAATCGGGCAAAGGCACAAGATAGAGAACGAGAAATTTGAAAGTTACGGCGTGTGGGATATTATACGGTTTTTAATTTGAATTTTAACGCACCACAATATGGATACAGTTTATTTTATTAAAAAAATATTTTTGGAAAAGCATAATGTAACTATTAGAATAAGTAAATATTTTTTATATTTAACAAATCTTTTTAAATTAAATGTATATATTTATTTATTTAATAAATAACTTTATTAATTGAGTATTATTGTTACGATTTATTAGCGATTTGATAATTAAGATACTGTTGTATATGATTATTTGCACTCTTGTATGCATAAATGAAAGAGTAGCATTAGAAAATATATTAGTTTTTTTAATTCAATTTCTAATAATATAGTTAAGTCTAAGTTTTTGAGAATGAATTTAGTTTAATGTTTGAAATATCGCCTATGAAAGTGATATATCTACTAACACACGTGACGAATTAATATTAGATGGATCAACAAGACTGTTTGAAGAAGATGTGTGATAGAAGGTCTAGATAAATTTTATGAAAAGTCCTAGAAAAGAAAGGGGTTGGAATTGAATATATTCAAGATATTTAAGACATGTATGAAGGGGTGTCGCCTAGTGTGAAGATACTGGGTGGAGAGACAAATGATTTTCTAATTACAATAAGTTTGTATCAAGGTTCAACCCTAAGCTTTTATCTATTTACCTTAATTTTAAATGTACTGGCGGAACACATCCAAGAGCTAGAACCGAGATGCATGTTTTTTGTAAATGATATAGTCCTATTTTGAGAGTCAAACAAGGATTTAAACGATAAGTTAGAGACTTAGAAACGAGCTTTAGAACACATGATTTTTTCTAAGAAGAAGCAATACATAGTATATGTATGTAAGTTCAACAAAAGAAGAAATATTTCTAACATAAATGTGAAAGTTTAAGACTATATCATCTCTTAAATCACACGATTTAAATATCTTGCGTCTGTAATACAAAATGATAGAGAAATATAAGAGAATGTAAATCATTGAATTCAAGTCGGGTGGATGAAATGGAGGAGGATTTCAAAGGTTATATGGGACGAAAGGTATCACTTACGATGAAGGGAAAAATTTATCGAACTATAATATGAACTGCAACGTTGTACGAAACAAAATTTTTAAAGGCTAAAATTTATCACAGAAATAAAGTAATTGTAAATATTGTGTTGGATGTGTGGTAAGACTATACATAATAATATAATAAATGAAAATATTAAAGAAAGGGTTGGAGTAACACATATAGCAGAGAAGATGATTGAAAATTGACTCGGGTGGTTTGGATATGTATAGAGATTACATGAGATTATATAGTAATAAGAGTAAATCAGATGAAGAGAAGTCAAACAACTAGAGAAAAAAATGATAACTAAAAAGAATATATGAGAACTTATTAAGAAATATCTTGAGATTAACGATTTGGATAAAATCATGGTCCTTGAAGAACATTATGTTGAGAGCTAATCCATGTAGCCTGTAACACCCCAAATTTAATTGGAATATTTTAATTTATTTATTTAATTGAGAATATTCATTTTTCAGTGTTTTTCAGTGTTTGGTGGAATATTGAGAATTAATGCATTTTTGGATTATTTATTTATTTGATAGTATATAATATGAATTTATTAATATTATTATTAATTAAAATAAATATAAGTGAAATAAGGATAATTTGGGCATTTGGAGGAGTTAGTAAGGGTAATAAGGGAAAAGCCCAAATTGTGAGGCCCAAGACTAGGTTTGACAAAATAGAGTTCTGAAGGGAATTATGATTCATTTGTTAACCGTGAAAAGTATTGTGGCCAGAGAGCTCTGAGGAGAAGATTGGAGGCAGAAGATTCCCAGAGATAATCGTGAAGACTTTGAATCGACTAAGGTATGGGGAGTATAGCTTTTCATGATTTTCCATGTGTGCCTTTCAATATAATTATGGATGATTTTAGGCTTAAGGGATTTTGGGTCGATTGTGGGAAAAGGGAAAATTGATGGTGAAGACCGTGATAGTTGTGGTTAGTGGTAAGTATTTCTGACTGTTAAAGCATGGATATGAGAAATAGTGACCTTAGGCCTTCGTGGCCAAAAACCTTGAGTTGTTATATGTCTGACCCCGAAAGGGATAAGAATATTGGATAGTGAGTAATCCTGATGAATAGGGTGTAATTGAAGGAAAAATTGTGATTTAGGGCGTAAATATGTTGCGGGATTGGTCTGATGAACCGTAGGTTTTGTGCCTTTACCGCCGTAAGACCTTAGGGATGATTTTGGGATGTTTGGGGGGCATTGGGAAAGTGAATCACAGAGCTTTTTGAGTGATTTTAAGTTCTGGTGCGTAGCAGAATTTGCCATCATCGCATTGTTCGCCTAGCGAACCATGTTGTTCCCAGACTCGCCTAGCGAAGAAACTCGACCCAGACTCGCCTAGCAAACAAGCCAGCGAATGTAGCAGAGTTTCGCGTATGTTAATCGTGTGCAGCGATGCCTTGATGTTTGATTATGTGATCTCCGTGATGAGTTACCTTGGGGGAAACTATGATTTTTATGTGATTAACATATGATGTGTATATGATTACCTGATGGTTTATATGATGTATTATGATGATATTACCATGACTTTGATGAATTATATGATGACATGATAATGATTGTGATGATGATGAATATGATGAATGATGATGCACCTATGATGTTATTATTAGGATGATTTTTGACGAGTGTGTCATGCATTCATGTGCATCCGGACTTCGGTTCAGGACCTCAATTACTTTGGCTTCAATCCCATTGTGTGGACGTGAAGTATTTTGATGTGCTCCGATTCTCTAGTAGAATCTATCCTATTGATGGGGATCTATGGAGGGTTGATGGCCCAGTGTCCATCGAGCTGTGATGATTGGTACCAAATGCATTGAGTTGTGTCACATCTGCATTTATGAGTCTTTTTGTATGAATTAAGATGTTATGGCCTTCGAGGCCTATTGATGAATATGAAGGTTGAATATGATTATGATGTCATTTATATATTGATTTTCATACATTGATTTTTATGAATTGTTTTACTCACCCTGCCTGTTTGAATGTTACCTCCACGTGGGTAACGTGCAGATGACCGAGTTTAGCCGTGGACGCCGTCGAGGATTTATTTTTGAAGTTTTGAGTTGTTATCCCTTTTGGTTAACTTAGAGGGTCTTGCTCTGATATGTAACATCGGGTTGGGTTCTTTGAGTTAAACTATATACTGTTGAGTTATTTTGCTTGTGTTCTCTGATGAGGAAAACCTTTACTTATGCCTTTTAAATTCCGATGTTTTATGCTATTTGATGTATTTTGGGGAAAAACCCGTTGTTTACGGAGCCGTGACCTATTTTGATGACGTTGGGAAATGTACGCCCTTTTGGTGGCTTTTTCTGAAATTTAATAATTACTCTGATATCTGTGTTATTTTGCCTTATTATTTGTGGGGTAGAAAAGGGTGTTATATTAGTGGTATCAGAGCAGATCGGTCCGTCCGGCCAAGTTTTTATGTTGTTAGTCCCCTGTCAGTCCATAGTTTAAGAACACTATTGGATGAGTTGTTTTCTTCTAACCTTGTTGGTGGTTGCAGATGGCTGGAAGGAATGATCGTGTTATTGATGATGCGCTGGAATCACTTGCCCAAGTGATGGCTCAGAATGGTGGACCTCAAGATAAGTTCCATGCTTTGGGAAAGTTCCAAAGGAACAATCCACCGACTTTTGTGGGCACTCATGATCCTGATGGTGCGCAGAAGTGGCTAAAAGTGATCGAGAAGATTTTCTGAGTTATGGTGTGCACTGATGCGTTGCAGGTACAGTTTGGTATGCATATGCTAGCAGAGGAAGTTGAAGGCTGGTGGGATAACACTCGTCAGAGAATGGGAGATGCTAGCATTACAATAACTTGGGTTGTGTTCAAGGAATAATTTTTGAGGAAGTATTTTCCTGAAGATGTTCGGGGAAAGAAAGAGGTGGAATTTCTTGAGCTGAAACAAAGGAATATGAATGTGGCTGAGTATGCGGCAAGGTTTGAGTCTTTGGTCAAGTTTTTTCCACATTACAACCATGATGATGCAAAGATGTCGAAGTGTCTCAAATTTGAGAGTGGGTTGAGACCAGAGATTAAACAGGGAATTGGGTACCAGCAGATTCGTAGGTTTGTAGAACTGGTGGACAAGAGCAGAATTTATGATGAAGATAGTCGAGCTCGATCTACTCACTACAAGCAGCTGAGTGAGAAGAAAGAGAAAGGTCAGTATAGAGGTCAATCGTATGTGACTTCTAGTGATAAAGGGAAGCAGAAGGCTTCTTATGGGAAAAAGCCAAGTGGGGGAGTGGCTAATGCTCCAGGTAAGTGTTATAAGTGTGGCGAGCAAGGTCACCGTGCTGAGAATTGTAGGGCGTTGAGATGTCATCATTGTGGCAAGAGAGGGCAT